TTATGAATGTAGACTGTTATTATGGTAGGAAGAGTGCATGAGCTGTTAACATATAGATGAGGAGCAGAGCGCCCCACTTTTGAAACAGACGAGGAAGGGCAGACGAGCTGCCCTGTGTTATGGTGAGTTGGTTAATCAGTTCATTTGATTTGAATTGGGCTGATCATTGTCATAAATGTTTGGTTTGTGACCAGATTGATGAAAAGGGCTTTGATGTGTTTTGTTTTTCTAAAGATGAGGCCTGGAAATGTAACATAAACCACAGAAAGAATATTGAATGAGAGCGGAGGAAAATAGTGACACTGATGGAAAGATCAGCTGAAGACAAGGAAGAAAAATCTACCTAGAGGCGTTAAACAGAGATCAGGCAGAAGTCAGCTAGAAAGAAAAGAAGATGGAGAAGAATGAATTTGATTGATTAATTTTATTCATCTTAGGAAATAGGCACCTTTCTGGATTTTAAAATTGATTGTTGTTGTTTAGATATTAATAGATATGTAAAAAATGGATGAAAGCACCACTGTCCCTGTCTCCTTTTTTAAAATTTGATGATATGTATCTAATTTAATCTATGAGCTGGAAATGTCCCCAGATTGTATTTCAGAAATCTGGTCACCTTAACTAAAATGAATGACTTTAAACAATATTTTCAATATTTACTCATTTTCTTTCCCTGCTTATGACTTTTTACTTATATTTTACAGAAGCACACCCTAACAAACAATTATAACTTTTACATTTTGAATTGATCAATTTGTGTTTTTTTTAGTTGCAGTAAAACTCAGAGCCACACTGACAGTTGATCCTTCAACCAGCAGGGGGCAGTTTTACAATTGGCTGCTCTCTAGAGACCTCTACTGGTTGGAAATACAGATGGTTCAGAAGGTGATAACCATATTCCATTTTCCTTCATGCCACATTTACTCAGTGCTTTTTATTGGCCTGTGTCAGAAAAGCATAAAACTCTTCTTTATGGCCGTATAACATCTCTGAGTGCTGAGAG